CCGCAATCAGTTCGATCATATCGATTGCTGGCGAAATGATCTTGATCTTAGAGTCGAGTCTAAGTTGCAGAGTAGCGAGTTCCTGCTTTTCTCGACCATCGACCGTCTTCATCAGTCGGCCGCATTGCTTGAGCGCATAGTGGCTGGTGATTGCTATGCCGCTTCGGATCGCATAGCTCATAGCCTGTTGGGTGACCTATCACGTGTCAGTATAATTCAAGAATACGAGAAGATGACTCCTTGTCAGTTATGACGTGTTGGGAGTCAAAGCATAGTCATACCTTTGCTAAGATTGCCTCCATCTTGCCCTATGGGTTGGGCTTCACCCTTGTATGTGTGGAAGGGGCGGTTGATGAAGAGGTTGGGAGAGAGGAACCATGAGGTCAGATATCAGGCTGCTGGGGAACGCAACCGGGATTAAGTGCGGCAAGTGACGACAAAGTGAATGTTTGAGGCTGGTGAGTGCCTTTGTTGCTGGGCGCCCTGGCCAATGTTAGGCAGCGAGGCGTTGAGTCAGCCCCACACAGCCACCCAAAGCAACCCCGCCAAATCCTGCGTGGGCAGCAGCGACCCGGCACATTTTCACTTTTCGCCGACGACACTCGACGCCCGTCCGCTTATATACCTGATAGTCGCTCCCTGGCCGCGGGTCGACTTCACGCATTCTCCAATTTACGAGCGACTCGACCGCACAAAATTCGCACGCCGTCGCACTACACCACCCCGACGACACGACCCATCCCCGCGAGACCGACGTCACCATGGCCGACAGCTGGGAGCAAGAGGAGGAGCGCCTCGCGCAGCAGGCGCAGGGCATGAACCTCAACAACACGCCCACCTTCACACCAGGCGCCCAGACATTCACCCCGGGCGCCAGCACATTCGTCCCCGGCCAGGCCTACGGAGGCTACCAGGGCTACAACCAGTACGGCCAGCAGCAATATGGCGGTTACAACCAGTATGGTGGTCAGCAATACGGTGGCTACCAACAGCAGCAAGGCTACCCGCAATACGGGCAGCAATACGGCGGCCAGCAAGGAGGATACCCCAACTACGGACAACAATACCCCCAGCAACAAAACTTCCAGCCCCAGCAGGCGCAGCAAGGCCAGGCGCCCGTACGGATAGCGAAGCGAGGCGACACCGATATGGCTGGCTCAGAGGGTGCCGCACCCGCCGAGGCTAAGAAGGAGGCGCCCAAGGCAAAGGTTCTCTCGATTGGTGGCGACAGCGCGCCCAAGGCAAAGGTCCTCTCCATCGGAGGCGACACCACAACACCAAAGGTCGAGAAGGCAGGCGGCACCAAGGTCCTGAGCCTGGGCACCCCCGCCGCTCCATCGGCAGCGAAGGAGAAGGCAGACAAGGAGAAGGGCACCGCTGAGGCCGGCACCAAGGTCACCGCTGCAAAGGCCATTGAGAAGACTGGAGAGCCCACCCCGGCGTCTGGAGGCTCTGGCCGAACCTCGCCAACACCTTCCTCTGGCCGCAACAGCCCGACACCGAAGGAGAAGGCTGCCGAGAAGGCCAAGGCACAGGATGTCGAGAAGGAAATGGACGAAGTCGTTGATGAGGCCACCCTTGCCGAGATCTACGGAAAAGAGCACGTCAACATCATCTTCTTGGGTCACGTTGACGCAGGAAAGTCCACCCTCGGCGGAAGTATTCTCATTTCCACCGGCATGGTCGACGAGCGTACACTCGACAAGTACAAGAAGGAAGCCAAGGACGCTGGTCGTGAAACATGGTACATCTCGTGGGCGCTTGACTTGAACAAGGAAGAGCGACAGCAGGGTAAGACTATCGAAGTCGGCCGAGGTTTCTTCGAGACGGAGAAGCGACGATACTCCATCCTGGATGCGCCAGGCCACAAGACATACGTACCAAACATGATCAGTGGTGCCTCGCAAGCCGATGTTGGTATTCTCGTCATCTCTGGACGTAAGGGAGAATACGAGACAGGTTTCGAGAAGGGTGGACAAACCCGAGAGCACGCCATGTTGGCCAAGACACAGGGTGTCAACAAGATCCTCATCGTCGTCAACAAGATGGACGACCCTACTGTTGAGTGGTCAGAGGACCGTTTCAAGGAGTGCACCAGCAAGGTGGTCATGTTCTTGAAGGGTCTCGGGTACAACCCCAAGACAGACATCAGCATGATGCCAGTCAGCGCGCAAACATTCACAGGTATCAAGACCCGTGTGCCCAAGGACCTCGCTCCCTGGTACGACGGCCCATCTCTGCTCGAATACCTAGACAACATGCAAGCGCTCGAGCGTAAGCTCAACGCGCCTTTCATGATGCCCATTGCCGCCAAGTACAAGGACATGGGTACCATGATTGAGGGCAAGATCGAGTCTGGTATCATCAAGAAGGAACAGAAGTAAGTCACAGTGTTACATGCTTTGATCTGCTTTGTACTAACGATATCAGGTACCTCATGATGCCCAACCGACAAACCATCCACATCTCCGCTTTGTACGGTGAACAAGAAGAGGAAATCCCAGGCGCGACCTGCGGTGACCAGATCCGTGTGAGGCTTCGGGGTGTTGAGGAGGAAGACATTCTGCCTGTAAGCAAAGACCGGAAGATCGTTCTTGATTGCTTGCTAACTTTGATGTTCAGGGATACGTGCTGTGCTCACCAAAGCGCCCCGTCCACTGTGTCTCCCAGTTCGAGGCCCAGGTCGTACTGCTCGACATCAAGTCTATCCTGACAGCCGGATTCAACTGCGTGCTCCACGTCCATGCCGCACAAGAAGAGGTTACCATCACCGCACTGCTGCACAAGCTGGAGAAGGGCACTGGACGGAAATCGAAGAAGGCACCGGGTTTCGCTACCAAGGGCATGAGCATCATCGCGCGCTTGCAAATCACCGGTACAGCTGGAAACATCTGTGTTGAGCGATTCGAAGACTACCCACAGCTGGGACGTTTCACTCTCCGTGACCAAGGTCAGACGATCGCTATCGGCAAGATCACCAAGCTCATCACCGACGAGGCTTAAATGGTCGATTAAAGTACGCATGATCATTCCAAGAGAAGGCAGAGGAGGAGCAGGATATCCGTTTTGACGAAAAGCTGTCGCCATTGAGGCAACATAGCCTGAGGCTCCACGGCGTTTGGACGCAAGGCTAGCATAGACCGAGCATCCGAACAATATGATGACGAATATTCTTCCAACTATGCACATTGATGTTCTTGTCGTGGTGATGTGCATGTATGGATTCCAGGGCTCGGAGATAGGCGTCGCGGGACAACTCTGAGACAAGCCTTTTAGTGCCGCAATCAACAGCAACCTTAATTGACCTTCCGAGTCAGGAAGTTTGATGCATGTGCGCGGAGGGTTAGCTGGACGCACATGCAGAAGTCAATGACGTCACGACGCGTCTTCCAGTGAAAGAGCCTCTTCGCGTAACAATCCCGAGGTCGCGACACAGCCATGTATAGCGAGGCTGTGCTTACGTCATCCACTCCCGCGGCCAAAGTTTTCGACTGTCACTCAAGCAATAAACCTCACCACCACCACGAACGCGCGCACACTGCGCAAACCTCCCTCGCCCACCCGCCACGATGCAGGGCTTCAATATGGGGCGGTACTACCCGCCCGACGCCTCAAACCCACCCAGCTTCAACAACTCCTCCCACCCGCTCGGCAAACGCGCCAACAAGATCACCCAAGGCATCCTAACCGTCCGCTTCGAACTCCCCTTCGCCGTATGGTGCAACCACTGCACCCCACCCGCCATCATCGGCCAGGGCGTCCGTTTCAACGCCGAAAAGAAGAAAGTAGGAAACTACCACACCACACCAATATGGAGCTTTCGCATGAAGCACAGCGCGTGCGGCGGGTGGTGGGAGATACGAACCGATCCACAGAACAGCGAATACGTGGTCGTTGAGGGGGCGCGACGGCGCGACTATGGTCCTACTGTGAAAGAAGATACAGCGGATGGCGAGCTGAAGTTCCTGACAGAGGAGGAGAGGCAGAAGAGGCGGGACGATGCTTTTGCGAATCTAGAGGGCAAGATGGAGGATAAAGGGATCGAGAAGAAGAATAGGGAGCGGGTGGAGGAGTTGTATGATAAAGCGGAGGTTTGGCGGGATCCGTATGATGTCAATGCGAAGTTGAGGGAAGTGTTTCGTGGGAAGAGGAAGGTGTGGAAGAAGGAGGATAGGCATAAGGAGGGGATGCAGGAGAAGTTTAGTTTGGGGATGGATATTGTGGATGAGACGGAGGCGGATAGGACGAGGGCTGGGCTTGTGGAGTTTGGCGCTGCAGATGTGGCTGAGGGTGGGTCGTTGGAAAGGTTATCGTGGAAACCGCTGTTTGGGGAGGCGGAGGTGGATGATAAAAGGGATGGGGAGTCGGCGAGGAAGACGAAGAGGCTCAAGGCGGAAGTGGCGAGAGAGAAGTCGAGGCTGGGGTTGCAGCAGACACTGGTGGGCAATACGAGGGCAGTAGTTGATCCATTCCTGAACAAGGAGGCTCCAGCGACACCGAGAGTCAATCTCGGCATACTAAAGAGGAAGAGAGACCCTGAGGCGAAAGACCAAGTTGAGCCCCCATCAACATTACGTCAACAGGAGGAGAAAACGGACACCGCGGCGCTGACGAAGAAGCCGGCCTTGCTCGGGGCGTTGGTGGGATACGACTCGGATTGATCGCACGCCTACGCATTGATTGATGCCTCACGACACTACTCTTGCATTTACTGGCGTTTGGGTGAAGGAGCATACGATACCCCATTTCCTTTTCATTCACTATCAGCAATATACGCGTACTGGTCTTCTGCTGCAGGTCGACTTTCACACCTACTGCGGTCAGGAAGCTTCACACAATGACATCAGCTTACGTTCACCATTGCAGTCGCCCGCTTGCTGTTGATTTAACACAATTTTGAAGGTTCCTGCATGGCCTTTACTGCTGGTACAACCCTGGAAGTTACACTCGCCAATCTTCCACATCGTCAGCATCTGGCCAACATCAAATCCTTGGCAATCATGAGTTCAACACAAACCCACGCTGATGACACACTACAGGTAACTACTGGGCACTCGCCCAGGGGTATCGGGGATCTACCACCAGAACTGCTTCTGAAAGTTGCCGACTTCGCTGCAGTCACCGATACGAACTCCAAGAAAGTTCTCTGCAAGCTCTGTCTAGTCAAGCCTCTCAACCCAACCGCGACGGAAGCGCTTTACGCCAACATTCATGCCGGTGCCGACTTCAACCCCGTCCTTCTCATACGAACCCTCCTCAGCCATCCCTCTCTCGCCGCCCTGGTACGCTCGCTCAAGCTAAATGCAGTCTGGAACGGATATCGGAACCAGAAGTACCGAATAGCGGTATTGAACAGCGATGACCCCAACACCCCTCCAGTAACCCTCGAAGACTTGCAGGGTTTGACTACAGACCCCGTCGTTAAACGGTTACTACAAGCTCCAGATGTTCACTTCGGGGCTGCAGCGTGTGCATTGCTATATTTCCACGCGCCAAACATACATACGCTGAAGTATGCCGTGGAAGGCCACTACCGAAAACTCAAACTCCCAGAGCTCTCCATCATGGTATCTACGCGGCCATGGGAAATCCCCTTTCTACCCTCCCCGCTCTTGGCGACACCACCAACCTACAACCTCCTCAAAAACGTCACCATACGAACCCCCCACATAGACATCGACCGCATCGCAAAGCTACTCCAACTACCCAACCTCTATCAACTAGAAGTCTGGAACCTGCGCGAACTCCAACCCCGTCATGCCTGGCACTGGGACGCCAACCTATTCCCCGACCACACATCCACGGTCCGGCATCTCACTCTGCGCGGCGGCTACCTCCACGTCGACGTCTTGAGTCTGGTGATACGATGCTGCAAGTCGCTGTCCCATTTTGCTTATCACATGGCGCGGAATCATAATCACCGGTTTCAGCTCTGGACGAAGTTCGATAGGCCGACGACCATTCATTTCGGTGTTGTGGTTGATGCGCTGAGGAAACATCGGGAGACGCTGCGGCATCTGGCGCTGTATAATACGGGGGCGACGGATAGGCGTGTGGCTCCGAGTTGGATTCCCGCGTCACTCGCTGACTTGTACAAGCTTGAGAGCTTGTGTGTGGATGCTAGTGTCGTCTTTCCCCGTTCCTCATGGGGCCATCTCAAAGACCTCCTCCCCGCCTCGCTCAATCGAATGCATCTACTGCATACCTGGTACGACTTGATGACCGACTGCGTGTTTGTCAGTGGTGCGTTGTATAAGATGTACGACAGGTATTTGTTCCCTCATCTGAGCTTTGTTGAGATGGAGGTGAACAGGGAGTTTTGGCGTTGGGCGGAAGAAACGGAAAAGGAAGATGAGGGGTTCGTGTATAGGGCGAGCGCTGTTAAGGCTTTGAGAGCGAAGGGAGTTAGGGCTGTGTATAAGACTCGGGAGGATAGAGAGTACGCGTGGGAGGTTGTTCGGGGGTGGTACGGGGAGTGATGGGGAGTGATGGATGTGAGCAGGCGGAGTGAATTGGTAGTAGGAGACGGTGAGCACACCCCGAATTCATACGCTCTATTCCGCTTCATGGTCTCCTGCTTTGAACTTGTCGAAGACGCCCACGCTTCTTTATCTTGAGCTGCAATACATTGGTTCTACCACTTGGATCGGACTTAGTGAGAGTGACGGCGCTAAGCGCCCCTTCCTCTTTGGTACCTCACCAGAAGATTCTGCGGACTTTTGTGTCACCGTACGTCATGAGCGCCCGAGCGCAGCAGGCACGAACTTCGCCACCCGCCAGTATATAATCTGCTCGTCCCCCGCCACCCTTCTTCTTCTCTTACACCACTTCTGGCGTTTACAGTTACGGAACGCTGCCTTCTTTTACACAACTCCTCTTACATCCCGCTTGTACAGCCTCTTTGTAGTGTAGAGACTTGAGCTGCGAATTAACGTTCGCGACCTTTAGGGAGGATCGGTTACAATTATCTACACGTTTTCACTCTATTACCTAGGCTGCTACGGCGGCCTGCTACTGTTTTTAATCTAAGAACAGTGGCTAAACTTTTTTTTGTAAGTTTAATTCTACCTATTTCTTCTTCTTGCGAGATACTAACAGCTTTATATGTTATAATATTAGCTTCTACTTTTACTACTACTCGCGATAAGCTTATAGATAAGAGTAATAGAGAAAGTAAGTGTTTACTAATATAGCAGCGCTAGACTACTATATATTCTTCTTATACTCTTTTTATAGTTAATATATTCTATCTAGAAAGTAGTTATAGTAAAATTATCTAGTATTAATAATAATCTTACACTAATATCTTTATCTAGTATCTATTTAGAGTTACTATATACGTCTTTTATAATCTATATAGAAGTCTACTAATTTAGACTTATTATATTAATCTAGAGATTTACTACTCTTTCTAGCTATTATTACTAAAGTAGATTAATATATCTAGAGATAGCTATAGTAGCTATAAATAAAATTAATAATTTACTAGTTATACTAAACCTTAATAGAGCGCTTAAAAGGTAAGATCTTAAGAATATAGCTAAAGAGGTTTTTACTCTTTAATTTAATAATAGATAGAAGTTAGAGATAGTTACTCTCTAAGATAACTAGGCCTATATCTAGAAACTATTTTCTAGTTAAGATAAGTATTAGAGATGTCTTAGTATCTAGTAAGATCTTAATAAAAAGAACTATATTAAACTTATCTATATCTAATAGCTCTAGAATATACTAAATATTCTTGCTCTAAAAGGCTATAGAGGTAATAGTAACTAGTTAAGGCTTACTAATATATATCTTTATAAGCTTCTAGATAGCTAAGCTATAAGTTTATATAGTAATAAAGACCTTTAGCTAACTAGTCTAGAATTTACGCTTCTTCTTAGCCTTTGTATTAGCGTACTTAGTGTAAGTAAGGTATAGCTTCTTATCTAGATTAGCACGCGCGTACTTTACGATCTTATACGCGGCGTAGTTAGAAACGTTAGACGCGGAGATAAAACTAATTAGTCTGTTAAACTAACGTCACCTACATTGTATTTATCCTAGTGACTATTAATTTCCCTGAAGAGCGCTTCATCGACAATGCCAGCTCCCTCGCGACGCAAAATGCTCTCCTCAATCTACTGCGGGCGGTTCTTCCGCGCCCATATGGCGAACTTCTTGGAAACTGCGTTAATTCCATGGTTAGATTGGCCGCTGGGAAAGGCGTGGTAGTGAGAAGACATCGCGATAGCATGTCGTGCTAGACGACTATAAGGACCTTGGTGGGTGCTGAACTGGATGGGAAAGATGGACTAGGTAGCTACAAATGCGCCTCTACCTGTCGAGATCTATGTTATGTGACTGCGAGGTGAGTACAGTGGTGGAGGAGCATAAGGTTTGTTCGATAAGTTCGCTGTGAGTACCTTCTGGATGCTCTGTAGTCATAACAAAAAGCATCAATATAATGCTATATTTCCTTCCAAACGAAACGAACGCACGATTACTTGCATCAACAATGAAAATACATATGAAAGCTAAGAGAACATGTACCAGTCCAACGCCACCGTCCCACTCAACACACTGTTTTAGCGCCACCTCACCAAGCAAACCCCCCCACCACAGCCTACACCCCACCCAACCCCAACCCCAACTTCCCCACAACACCATCCACCAACCCCCCAATACTCGCACTCTGCAGAATCTCAAACACACTAACCGTAGCTTTCGTCTCCCTTTGAATCCAGTTCTTAATCTCAACAGCCACCAATGAGTCCGTCCCATAGCTGCTCATCGAACGCGTGGCATCGAGTTCCGATACATCCATCATCAGACTGCGCGACAGCTTCTTGAGCAGCGCCGCGAGGATGAATTCCTTAGCTAGCTCCGCAGACGGACTGGAAGAAAGCTGCGCGGAAAGCGAGAGCGATGTAGTCGTCGTACCATCATCTGACGATTGAGCAGGCGCATCGATCTTGAGATGCGGGCGCAGGTACGGCAAGTGACTCAACACAGGATCTCGTGCGAAGAACGGCTCTTCTGCGTCGGTCAAGCTACTAATATCGAGGTCTGAATCAAGACCAGTGACGACATGTCCCATCATCGGTTCGCGGATACCCAGCTCGATCAGCGCCAACATCTCCTTCTCCTGGATGTGCTTGAACTCCTGGACTTGCACTTTGCGGCCTTGAACCTTCTTTTCAACGACATAGCCCACGTCGCCGACGATACCAAGGTCGATGGCTGTAGCTGGCAGACCGAGCGCGTTGCGGTATTTGGCTAGTGCGACTTGGTAGGCGCAGCCTGCGGCGTAGTTGGCTTGACCGGGGTTGCCGATAAAGGAGTGGAGAGAGGAGAGGAGGACGAAGAAGTCGAGTGGCTGGGATAAAGTGGTCTCGTGGAGGTTTTTTGAGCCGTGGACCTTGGGGAGGATGGTCGAAGTCCATTGATGTGAGGTCATTGTGCTGAAGAGGGAGTCGTTGAGGGTCATCGCGCCTTGTATTATACCCTTGATCGGTGGGAAGGAGCGCAGGGTTTTGGAAAGAAGGTTGGAAAGGTCGAGTGCGTCGGACACGTCACACTTCAAGATGGCAGTGCGAACACCCGAGGCGTGGAGAGATTCGACGAATGCTTGCGCTTCTTCTGATACTGCACCGAAGCGGGAAATGAATATGAGGTGTTTCGCGCCGTGTGTGACGAGCCATTGCGAGATGCTTCGTCCTAGACCGCCTAGACCGCCAGCGAGGAGGTAGGAAGCTGATGGATCGAAGGAGGTAGCGGGTGGGGGTCTCTGGGCAACCTGAAACTTGTTAGTCGCATCTTCAACATCGACACGAATAGTGGCTTACAAGAACTTGGTCGTTAGCCTGCGGCACCATTACCACCTGCTTATTGTGACTCGCATCTTGCAACATCTTGACAGCCTCGTTCAGCTTGGACCAAGGCAAGACATTGCCAGCGCTAGGTTCGAGTGCCTTCATCTCGGTGGCAGCGCTCATAGCCCCATGGAATGCTCGACTCGCAAGCTTGGGCTTCTGCGCATACAGCAACGCCATATCGACCGACGAGAAGGATGCGTTGCGGCCGAATGGTGCCATTTCCAGTCGACCAGTCCCCGGTGCATTGAGGTTTACGAATCTGCCAAAAGGCGCGATGCAGCTGAACGTCGCTTGCAATGCCTCGCCAGTTAGGGTGTTCAGGATGACATCAACACCGCGGCCTTTTGTCGCGCGCCGAAGCGCAGTGACAAACTTGAGATCGAGGCTGGAAAAGATACGAGCTTCCTCAATACCATAGGTCTTGGCAAGGTAGATCTTCTCTTCGTCGGATCGCACGGTTGCAAAGATCTTTGCGCCCGCTTTTGAGGCCGTCTCGATGCTAACTTGGCCTACGGGGTCTGCGGCCTCGTGGATGAGAACGGTTTCGCCGGATCGTAGATGCGCGACGTGATTGAACGCATAGTGAGCAGTCGCATGCGCCTGGGGCAATGTAGCTGCGACTTCAAAAGCCATGCCATCGGGAATTGTGTGCGCAAAGGCTGCTGGCACGCGCACTTGGGTGGCGAACGTGCCTGGATACCATGCTACCACTCGATCGCCAACCGAAAGGTCAAACACTCCATGGCCAAGCTTTGTGACGACACCCGCACATTCTTGTCCAAGCTTGCCATCGTAGTCATCTCCATCCAGCATCTCGACGTCGCTGGAGCTGAGCCTTGTAGCGCGAACCTCGATTTCGACCTCGCCGGCTTGCATGGGTCGCGCAAAGCGCACATCCTCTTCGAATACGGCCACGCCTGATGTGCTTTTGTTGACATTGCTGAGTTTAAGTGGACGACCCTCCTGGAGTACGCCCTCCATCTGCGGCTGTAAAGCTGTCGCATCAGTCCGACCAACCAGGAACTCATTCGACTTCTCATCTTCAATCGCACGCTTGATGCTAAGAACACCACCCTGCTCGAAAAACTCG